GAATAATATTCCCCAGCAATTTATCCAACGACATATGCAATCCATGAAGCAGAGATGCACTGTAGTCATCAATGCTGGTGGGAGATACACCTGTTACTAATTCTGGGATTTTGAACATTCGAATAGATATTATTAATTTCTAATAAAAAGTGTGCTTTTGATCGTTTTTCTTAGTCTTTTTGTCTGCACTTATTGAGAAAATGGAAAGCCTTTTAAAATCCATTGGCAAAACGGCATTACAACGGCAAAGAAGGGAAATAATGCACAGAACGGAGGGTGCCCACTTTCTTTTGCTCGTCAGTATAGATGAAAATAAGCAGCTAATAAACACAACATCAACTTCATTGAGCATTTTGAGGACATACCAAAATGAAATGACTTTGCACCAATTCAGAAAATGTAACATTGTTTCAATAAATAAGTACAAAAGTAAAAACAAACAAGAATATCAGAGAACATCCCGCCGTTGAAGGCCAATGACAAAAAGCTTTCTGTTGGGAAGCATTATCTTTATTAAGGAATGCCGACGACTCATGCATGAATGTGGGGGTAGCACTGATTAACGTTAAGGTAACATTGTAGAAATGTAGCCTACACCCAAATCTAAGGCAATTTTCAGGGGAAGGGGGGGGGGGTCACAGATATAATATATGATTTATCAATATAGAGTGAAAGGAAAAATGAATTGAACGTCGGATCGAAGAGAAAGAAAAGGCTCAAACAGAACCGCGACATGGATTACTGAGTGGCTCTGTAAACCGATAAGCAATGTTTCAGCTCAAAAGTATTATTAAATCTTACTTTTCTCTTGTTTTTATAGTAGAAAATTCCCCGCACCTCATGAGTTTTCTTTGTTTCCAAACAAATGCAGCAAAGTGTTTCGACGCTTGTTGTACCCACTCATTGAATGCTTATGGTGTGTAAGAATAATAATATAGAACTATAAGTATGGGCAACGCAAGCTCTTGCGTGTGAAGATCAAAGAGATTTGAGAGAGAGGTCTTCTTGACCTATATAGAATGTGGAACTTCAATACACAAACAATGGAAGTAACTGAACAATACCGGTTTCTGAAAATAATATGTATAGTAGGCCTACTTTGCTTGCCTTTTAGGATATGGCTGCTGTGACATTAGAAAAAAATCCAGGATGGTTCTCTCTCTCTCTCTCTCTCT